TTATGTGAAATTGTAATTGTGACCATAAAAGTCTTCATAAATGTCCAAAGATTTCATAAGTGCACAAAGAAATATTTAGAGAACCATATCTAGTGCGATTAAGAGTTACGAGATAGAAGTATGCTATGATATATATTTTTCCTAACAATGGTCATGACATGGATCTAATCAGTATGTATCAATATTATCTTTAGAAAATGTATTGTGATACCTGAAGGGTGCTGCTGTCAGTTATTCTATTTCGTTGTCAAACGAATAACTTGTGATTGGAATAGATATTGACTAAGAATGAGAGTTAATCGAGCATAATTAGTTTTTTGACTTGTGCGCTTTTGCTACATAGAGTAGCAAGAAGCATATATTGTAATGTATATCCTGGCAGTTAAAGAAATTATTTGGTATGGATGTATTTAACATCTAATAATACTGGTTGAGAATATAAGATCCATGATAGTTACGCAACTATCTTATATGTTAAGATCTCAAGTATCAAGATAGAACCAAACGATTAATGATAATTCTGTGAGAGGCATTAGCAAAGAAAGTGCTTTTGTGATATATCTACGTAAATGATGATATATAATTATCATACTCTGAAGGTGTCTAGAGATATATTTGTTGATAATATGGAATCTCAAGAATTTTGTAGAATATGATACTTGGTGTATCAAACTCTTGATTGAGTTTTATGTGTCCATAGATGAACAATTTTGAGTTCATGTGTAATCTAATGTTGAGATTATGAGATAAATGATTTGTATGCACATATAAAGTATGTCGAACGGGTTGAGATTGGCTCACTCACACGAGCAATCGCCTCAAACGTTTTGAAATGTGCCGAGATAAGCCAAAATGATCATGTTGTGTACATGATCTTGTGGCCTTGATAGTGATCATGTTGTGTACATGATCAAATCACTTTGTTAAGTTATCAAAATGAGATTACAACAAGTAATCGAAATGGATTTTGCTATCTATTAAACCCGTTTAGTAGCCAAATCGAGTTCTCGATTTGAGAATGCCTAGAGGAATGAATATAAGGAGAACTCTAGTTAGATATCGAGGAATATCTGAACTATGATTTGTATGATGTATTTAATTTGCAAGATTAGGCATACGCCCTAAGAAAGGAAGAAAACATCGTAACATGAGTTTTATACCACGTGTGTTTTAACGACCAATGAGAAATGAAAGAATCGATCACTGCTTCTTCATTGTGTGAGTCTTTGAGGCACATTTGACCCCACTTATATATACCCTTATGACTTTTGACCGTTTCTCAAAATTTTATTTCATTGTTGCTATTTTAGCATGTTGTCAATAACTATGATTGATTCGATTTGATGGGACATGTCTAGGAAAGCAGTTGACTTGAATTGAAGGGATTCAAGTAAGAAAGGAAGACTATTTAACTAACACTTCAACTTGTAATCATTGGTCGGATAATTGTGTTAATTATTTGAGTTTTGTGACACAATTGTGAATACAATATAAATGAGAAAGTTGAGTATGTTCTAAAATGAATTGAAGGGTCAGAAATACTCGAACTGGTGTTACATAATATGTTTGGGGTATAGCGAGAAATATAATTCTTCTTCTAGAGCTGTTATATATCCCTAACAGGTGTATAGTGTTGTGTGCTCTTAAATTAACTCACTGGTCGCGTGATCCATTTACCTGTATGAACTTGGAGATGTTGAAATTAATATAATTGATATTATATTAGAATCATGTCAAGCCCATCATGTGCGAGTGGGAGATGTTGGAGGAAAATGGGTCGTCCATGTGGGTTGACTCGACCCGATTTGCATGGAAGTGAAATATGGAGGGAGGAGTTGAAAATTGAATTATAAAAAAATTAACTCCCTCAATCTATAACTTCCATGTACACATCCACTCCAGAAAAATACCCTGGAGACATGCAAGAATTCTGGTTTTATTCAAGGGGTAAAAAAAATGAGGGTGAAGGCTTGATTTTTGGAAAATAACATCTCAAATTGGGTTCTTGGATTGTGGCTATCAAATTCCTTTCATTGTGATCAAATATCTGACCTAGAGGAGGGTACAAGATGGTGTGGAAAGCAAGCGAATCAAAGGCAAGTAATTCAACCTCGATTTTGTGATTTCAAGTAAGTATCACTACTTGAAACTCGGTGATAAGCATGCAAGCACGTTTTACAGTATATCTCTAATCATTTCCTTGAAAAGGGAGAGTTGACTTCAGTGAAACAAAAGCAGCATTGAGAGAGAATAAGAATAGAGGGGGGCGAAGTCTGTGTTGTAATAAAATTTCTATGGCGAGAAAAGAAGAAAGCAATGAAATGGATATTGATCTATCCCTCAAGCTAGATGCACAAGCAGAAGAAGAAAAAAAAATAGTAAACAGCAAAAATCCGATCAAGTCAAAGAAAAATTACTGCTCCTACATAAACACGACCAAGAATTAGGAGGAGAAGATGATGTTCGAAGGGAAAATTCCCAGCCCGAAAACTGTAAAGAGTACTGAAGAGGTACAGTTCTTTGTAAAAGAAAGTTGATTTTAATTAATTTTGTTGTTTAAATATTTCCACGAGCTAGGTTTTCTTCTTCTTGCAATGACTAACAATATGCATGGAACTGCAAAATTCTATCAGATATCAATTCTACTGTTGCAGATGAATCGTATGGAGGAGGAGAACAAGATATTAAGCAACGCTGTGGAACAAATTATGAAAGATTATGATGATCTTCAGCTGAGATTTGCTATCATCCAACAAAATACCAATCAAGACAATGTAAATTAATTAGTTAATTCGAATTTTGATCTCTTATCTGAAAATATTTTTATCTAAGCTCAAAGGAGATGATCATGATCCGAGTCAGGAACCAAAAGAAAGGGTACTGTCATCAGCATTAGATGAAGATGGTACAACAGCAAGGGATGAATCAGGGTTATCTTTGACACTACGAACCAGTTCGAAGAAATTGGAGGAAGAAGAGACGAGGAAGGAGAAAAATTGAAGGTACAACAGGATCTGTACCAATTCAAGTCAGGTACAGGGCAGCAATAACCTGCCAGGATTTATTACAAGCCACCATGTTACTTCTCCACCAAATAAAAGAGCCAGAATTTCCGTCAGAGCCAGATGTGAAGCTGCCACTGTGAGTTCAAATTCATTGTCTATTAATTCAATAAGAATGACCTAAAATTGATAAAGAAATGTATACATTTGTAATCAGATGAATGATGGATGCCAGTGGTGAAAATAAGGACAGAAGATTGCTAAAGCAAATCCTTGTCCTCGAGCCTACTATCGTTGCACGATGGCCCCTGGTTGCAATCAGTCAGAAAGCAGGTACTTATTTGCAACTTTAGTCTCTTCGTGCGAACGCAACCATGTTAAGAAAAACTGTACTAGACAAGATTGGTTTGAACTGGCCAGGTCGATCAGAAAAATTGAAAGTGGGACCAAACTATATCAATAATCTGTATTAACTTACTAGGTGCAAAGGTGTTTGGAAGACAAGTCAATACTGATCACAACATATGAAGGAACACACAATCATCCACTTCCAGTAGGTGCAACAGCAACAGCCTCGTACGTGTGTAATCCATTTATGAAAACCTTAAACCCAATAAATTCCCCATATTACTACAGCCCTCATATGATAAATCCGTCCTTTCCACATATTCCTAACCTAAGAAACATAAACCCTAATCTTGATCCTGCTAAGGGAACTGTTTTTGATCTCAGGTCTTCACATTCAGCAGAAAAAATGGGCTTTTCTTGGAATGGTAACACTCTTTTAACCAGCTTTTCCCTGGCCCTAAACTAGTTGAAGAAATGGGGTATAAAGGTGAAAGTGTAGTGGCATCAGATCCTAAGTTTAGGATTGCTAAATGAAGAAACCCAAAAACTCATTCTCCTGGGGATGGGGACAAGTGCGGGAAGGCCTATTAGTGCGAACTTCGGGTGGGGAATATTCCGGTGATTAAGACCGGCATTATTCCAGAGCCGGACGAGGGAAAGGTACTGGTTCGCAGTCAATATCAACTTCACCTTTGAAGGTCATTTTCTACGAATCACAGGCATTCCCTGGGTATGAATTTTGAAGTATTCTTGGTGACAGATGAGTAATTGTAGATGATTGATTGTGTGTTATACATCATTGAATACTAGATTAATTTTCTAGATCCATGTTCAAAATGAAATGAAATATCGCTATTCATTATTATTCACATGTTTCGTAAATCCGCAACTATTTCTCTTCATAAATTATCTATAAATTTGCAAAAGGGGGCTTAGTATAATGTATTAGCATTTAATTATATATTAACAAAAACAATTATATCCAAATATCTCTTGATAATATTTTGTGATTAGATGTACCAAACAACACAAATAAACTTGTCTCAAATATTTAGAGAACGTGTTTTTAAGAGTGAAGATCTGAGCTCAAATTCGTTCGAGTTATATGCCATTTATGTTGATCTAATGTATCTTGAACAAGTCATAAAATTTCTGAGGCCCCAATTTCCTGAACTTTGTATGATGTTGTAGAAGGCTTGAATCTTTTAAAGAGTGAAACTATTGCGGGTTTACTTAAGTTTATTTTATTACATTATCACTATGATTTGACATCTCTAAAGACGAAACAAATTTAAAGTGAGCCCCGTCTGAGAGTGATTTTTCACCTCAAAAAATTTATTATTTTACCGTTATTTTATTATTCCAATCGTAATTTTTGACGTCTTCTCTGACAGATGACCTCCACCTTTCTCCTAACATTCAAAAAATCAATTCTCAAAATCACTACCGAACAAGCCCTAAGTTCAGAATTCGACAAATTTGAAAGTGAACCCATCAATTTTAACGTTGAAGATATCAAAAAATTTGATGAAAAACTGTTTGGTTTAGCCAGTTTTCCAGATTCGCCAGACAACTTACTGGAAAGCTCCAGATGAAAAATCAGATGACAAATATTCAAAGCAAAAAACAATAATGTAAAAAAAAAAAAAGAAAAAATCAAAACCTCGGTAGAATTGGAACAAAAGCGAAAGATAATAACAAATTCTTGATTTTCTTTCTTTGGTAGACTAAAAAAACCCGTAACTGGTTGTTTGACAGATCCCCCCATTCAAAAACCCCGACTTCGCATATAAGCAACGTCTTTGAGCAGAATGAGAAAAAACTATTACATTCTCTTTGCTCAAACTTCTAAACTTCAGAAAACTCTGGACCGTGTTCAGCACGCAACAATAATCAGAAGACATAATTGGGACTGGACCATCGGTTACTTATTTCTATTCCTCTTTCATGCAACACCACCCTTCCCCCAACTTTCAACACCCTACTCAGCTAGCAGAACTGTCAATTGAAGTAGCAAGAAAATGGATAAACACTCCATGCCAGGCTAACCCAGTCAGCAAATCAAGATTCCAGCTTAGTTTCAGATGAGCTCAATCCAGAAGAAATGCCACCAATGCTCCCAATCTGCGACAAAATCCTAGGCTGTACTTGTAGCAGTATTTTCAACGATGGCTTCGAATTGATTTGCTGCACAATAGTTGCAAGAAACATTTAATTTTGCAATGAAAAGCATGGGATGCTAGCTAATGAATTTATTAACTAAAAACAAATATGCATCATCTCTCACCTTCTTAGTCATAACCCTGTAGAATTCACTTATTTCCTCTTCAGTGAGACCACCCTCATCAGCATTCTCCTCCCAGCCCATAGAGCGCAAAAATGCAGCCTCTTCCTCATCTGAAATTATAGGAACAGAATTTTGATATTTCTTTCCATTACTGACATATTTCTGCCCTTCAAAAGCATCACCATTGCAAGTAAGGTCATCATTCTTGTCAGACAAATGGCCCTCGCCTGGGCTTACACATGATGGAGCATCACCAGCATTAGGAGTACCCAAAGCAGTGACCTCTAATTCACCAACCTTATCTGAAGCAGGTGGTGACACAGCGGTGCCATGATCTGAAACAGAAAATGTGTTTGCCATAGATTGATCAGGAACGGATGAGGAATTTGCCACGGATTTCTTCCTCATAAGTTTGAAAAAATCATTTCGACTTTGAGCTTGAGGAGTGGGTCTCTTCTCCGTAGTAGTCAATACAGGCTTGTGCTCAGCGTTAGGAATGATTGAGTTGTATGCTGAGCCCATAATGGGAGCAGCTCCAGAAGCTGATGGAGTCATCGAAAGGAGGGAGGAATTTACTAATTTGCTACCACTTGTTGGGCTCGGGTTATCCTTTGCAGCAGAAGAGACAGCATTCCTCTCTCGAGCTGGCTTGAGAACATGGAGCTTTCCCACATTATTTGTCTTTGAAATATCAGACTTCACGAGCCCACCACGAGGAGAGTGACTAACAGACAGTGAAGGTGAAATAGGATGTTGCTGCTGACCCCCCTTAGCTTTTTGTTTATCTAAAGAATTCATGACCTGAAGGAAAAGTACAATGAGATTAATCATATCTTAAAACTGTATCAAAAAATAAACAGCACGAGATAAAAGTAGTCCATTCATATTAGGCAGCATGACCTCAAAAGCACATAAAGCATAAGCTTTTTCACGTATGCCCTCGTGGATTTCTAAAAAGGTGTATCTTTCTACATGTCATTTAAGTGGGTCCAAAAATCAATTCCCGACAGCAATTAATAATTTGTTTCATGAAAAAGAAGATAAACCAACAATACAAGACCTGGATTCACTAGCTACTTTGAAAAGCTGCAACTTTTAGAAAACGTATCAAAAAGCAAAATATTAGATATACACACATTAGTGCTTCAAAAGTTGAATTGAGTTGACATCACTGGAGTGTGATGGAGATGGTTGCAACTTCGAAAAAAAAAGGAAGAAGAAGATTTGGCCATGCAAAATATTGGATAGTGTTAAGTTGAGATGGAAGTTCCATGTAAGTTAATAAATATTTCATTTCAAGGTGTTATACATATGCATGCCCTAAATAGTCATCATTTTCTGCCTTTGAAGCCAGCGAAAGAGTTTGAGAAAAATTGGCATTTAGACACAACTACGCATATGCTGACACCGAGCTAATCACTCCCAGTTGTACTTGGGCCACTGGCTTCCTCTTTGCTCTCAAACTCTCCTTCACCGTAGTCAAATAGTAACTGAATTTCATTCATTCCACTATCCAACCTCTCCCACCCCCAAAAGACTTAAAAGAGCATCCTTTCCTATTTGATCCCATTGAATTCAATATTCAAAGTAACATTGGGATCTATTTATTAGAAGAATCGATGAATACAGTACATATGTTCCCAATGGTACTATATTGGTTTTGAATCAGATTTCAAATCAATAAACATTATTCATGCGGGGATCTGGTCCCTTATTTTTCTAATCATTCAAGAAAAAGATCAATCCCTTAATACAAGATAGGAGGTAGAACAAATAAAGATTTATTTTTGCTATTTGTTCTCAACAATCTATCGATTCTATTCTCTCCCTCTCATCCTTGGACCACTGGCTCCTCTTTTTCTCGGCGATTTCCAGTGAAATTTGTTCCTTCCTATACTCAATCTCCCCACCCCCAAAAAATCAGGAGGGAGGAGCAACTGAGAAATGGAAAGAAATAAAGGGCCACACTTATTCTACTTAATCTCAGAACTTCTTTCGATTGGAAAATGGCAAGTTTGACTCTCCAGAGAACCAATGATAACATCTTTGGTGAGCGGCAAGTACATCTTATAATTCTTGCAGTTTAATCATTCACAATCCAAAACTAATATGATCTAGAAATGGCGAAACACAGGACTACAACCTTTACAAGGTTGCCTAAAAATGATTATGACCTTCATTAGAAGTTTAATGTAATTAACATCTATCTAGACAAAAATTCCCTTATCATTGGACCTTCAGTTTGCTGAAAGTGATTCCAGTGACATGATATCAGATGTCACATTAAAAATCAAAAAATCAATCAAATCATGCATAACATCGTGGTCGTCGCAAACATAAAGGAAATCATAAATACTTTTCCTCTGCATATGAATTAAAAGCATTTTGGCAATCAAAACCAATGAAAATTAGTCATCACTGGAAAGCTATATTTAAAGCAAAATCATTGTTTAAAAGGTAAGAGTTATAAAATTAGCAAGGGGTAAATCAGGAGAGATATAATTAAGACAAGTATATTCCTTAAACAAATCACACACATGGAGAGAGAGGTAGAAAAAGAGGGGGGGGAGGCGTGACAAGACAAAAGACAACCTTCTACAAAAATAAAAATAAGAACGTTAAAATTCTTGATAAATCATTATTCTATCATTCCAAATTTTATTCCTACCTTTCAATGATAAAAATCATTCCTTTTAACATCTTATCCTCATCAAAATACTATTTCTGTTGGCCAACTTTCACCACTCCAAATGACGAAAACACCCATAAAACCCATAAACAACAAATGAAAATGGGGAAGAAAGTGAATGAAAAAAAAAAAAAACCCTGGTACCCCACAGTTCATCCCTTGGCACGAGTGACATTTTTCTATTTCTATACATAGCAGCAGGTCCTTACTCTAGAAAGTGCATGGATAAGAAGAAAAAGATAGGGATGGATTCCTCTTAGCTTATGCCTTTCTTGGTGATGGTAAAAACGTTCCTGCGATTATGGAATATCAACATTGAGTAGAACGATTTCAAGCACGTGTTTGTAATATACTACTTGGTTAACGCGTGCAAAAGTTGGATGAAACAGTACCAAGGTGAAGGAAGTTGCATACATAGCAGTGTCGATTTTGGGTGCGATGTTTACCAATCGATGACGACTGCACTTTCTAACATCATTTAGTCAAATAATTATTTTCTTCCGATGATAACAAAGGTCCTCCAGCAGGGCTTCATTTATCTCAGCAGAATCATTACACAAACAGATATTCGATCCACCCTAATTTGTATATTTATCTCACGAAATTATAACTAAATTAAAAAAAATTACTCAGATGTAGAAAAATACATTTAACTGTAGTGCCTAGAAATGTGTCTTTCTCTCTGTTTAATGCATTTGACATCTTTCTTGAAGATCCATTTATCTCAGTTGAATAATTACACAAACAGATGTTAAATTCGCCCTATTTCTTATGTTTATCTCACGAAATTTACAACCATTTAAAAATATTAACTCTTATGTAGAAAATCTAGGCGAAGACCATGACAATCTCATTTTCCACGGCTTTCTCCATCTCTCCAGTCCTTTTGAGTCTCCAAGATAAAACCGTCCTGATTTAATAGCTATTTCCAAGTTTCTTGTGAACCAATTGTCAGTATACTCTCTAGTGTCAATCACTAAATAACAGGTGATATCTCATAATCAACATTAATACAAACAAATTGGCACACTTTCATAACCAAGTACCAGTCTCAACCTCTATCTAAAACTGATCAAATCTTTCAACTGCCATCTAATATAAAACATAGTAGACAATCTACAAGGAAAAAGCAAAATGACAAACTTTCTAAAATTATTAAAGCAGAATACAAAAATTGGGAAAGCTATTCGATGCTATACCTTTAAAGAATGATTAAGCAGAATTCAAAGCTTATAGCGAAATGATTGACACATAACAATCCATATACTAAGTATACGTATAATGAATTTTAACCATAGGAAGTTCACTCTTACCAAGGGTTTTGACATGGATGGCGTTACCGGAATCAATTGCTTAAATTGTTTCATCGCCAGCTCTTCAAGTCTCTGAGTTCCAGCAGACAACTACAACAAAACAAAACAAAAAATAGTTATTAGCACAAGAACTTCCAACACTATCCCCAAGAATAAAGGGAAAATTGAACCTGCCTGAGGTATAGTCTGAGCACGTGTAGGACCCTGTGCCACAGTTGCGGCCATATTAAGACCAGTGGTGGTGCCCAAAGCCAAAGGGGCAGAACTTGAAGGAGTAGCTATTCTTCCAGTTAAAACAGGCACTTCTGCCAAAGCCGATGTCCATTTTTCGCCACCTATCATGGCTGAGGTACCAATGGGTAAGTTCTGAATAGCAGTACTCAAGCCAGGAGACGGGATCCTTCCATCCTCTGGGGTGGCTGGTCGTTCTTCTGCTCCCAGGGATGGAAAATCTCTCTCAAAAGTGGCTTTGTTGACACTGCTAATAGGACTGCCCTTGTTAAGCACACCATTGCTGTTGTTTCCACCGGAATTGCTTGAATCAGTTACAACTTTCTTTGGCCATGACTCCCCACGTTTACCAGAAATCATTGACTGTGAGCGCCTTAAACCATCCCGCTCAAACTTACTTGACAAAATGTCTCCCCCCAATGGATCCAAAATGTACTGTTGCCTTCGGTCCCCCAAAGCTGACTTTTCTTTATCCCGATAACCACACGTGTCCTCCCATTCCCTATCGCGGTGATTCTTAGCGGAACTACTATAGGACCTCAAGTGACCAGAACCATTACTACTGGAACTCCGACGAAAAGATGAATTGGTTCTATCCATACCAGATGGTCGCCCTAAATCATGACCATTGCTTGTCACAAGTGACTTATTTCTTGATACTTTTGATGCAGTATGATCGTCTAAAAAATATAAAAATAAAAATAAAACAAAGCATGTTAAAAACTAGTTCAAGGCTATGAACTAGGATATATCCAATATAAGATGTTTGCTTCTAAAAGATGAAAACAATTACCTGAATGTGATGCAGTGCCACCACCCACCAGACTTCCACCATTTTTCAGCCATTCTGGAACTAATGTGGGTTCACTTCTTTCCATAACTAATGCTGAACATTATAGTATACAAAGAATAATTGGAAAGAAAATCTACTTGTCTTCTACTTAATGACCATGTTTAAACAGCACTGTGTCAATTGATAACTTCTGCGTTTCCCTCCCAGACAAAATCGAATGCTTAAAGAAAGTCAATCCAAAATTTATTCTAATCCGAAATTTCCTATGCACTAATCCTTTTATCTAGGTCAAAGCCCTTACCACGCTGTTTCAAAACTCAGTGGCCAGTGTCACATTAACTGAATCCACTGAGCCCCCAATAAATACCTCCAAAAAAAGGCCACATATGAATAAAAGAATCTGAATTATTCTATATATACAGAGGAACAGGTGTTTCGTCTCTCTCTCTCTCTGAGTACAATTTATATTATCAAGTCTATTGAACAAAAACTGCTTAAAAACTTTTGCAATTTTCAATGCCTGGAAACAATATCGACATGGGCTTCTCACAGCCCCACTGACCAAGAAAAATCGCATAAAGTAAAGTCCTGCATCTCAAAGTCGAGAAAATTCAATAAACAGCCGCAAATTACCCTACTCCATGCATAAATCTTTCCAAAACAAAGCAATCCTTCAATAAACACTCATTTCCATATATAAAGTCAGAGAGATAATCAAACCCTAGACCCAAACCATCCAATAACAACAAAATATTCCGAAATCTCAGAAAAATCCTCAAGTACAAACAGCCAGTAACACGGAAAATTATCAAAAACTCAGAAACAGTCCCAGTATATCTTAACAATTAAAAAAAAGTGTCGGGCCCCGAATTTTCAGAATAACATTAAAGATTATAACAAACCCTTTCAGTCTTCTGCACACCAAAAAACCCTATTCGTCACCCTCGACCTCCACGCCTTTGAATGAGTTGGTTTTCTAAGTGAAAATTTGTCGAAATTATAGAGAAGGAGAGAGAAAAAGAACACCAACTGTCGTGTATTTCAAAAATTCTGGTCTCTTTTGCATACTATGTGGTAAGGAATCGATTTTGTGTGCTTATACAGATAGCGGAGATTAGCGATGGAGATTTTGTTTGTTCGGAGGAAGTTTTGTGAGGCTGTGTGTTTGGAAAGAAGCCCTATTTTTTTTTCGTGTTGTTGCCAATAACAATTGGCAAATGGATCGTGCGCTTACATTAATACTAGGACTGGTCTATGCTCTGTTCTAATCCTAATCTCTATCTATTTCCAACCAAAAATTGATACATATTTGTTTATTTAAAAATAAAGAAATCAACCACGGTGTGAGTGTTAACAAGATTGCGAGATTATGTAGTTTTTGTTATTTTCCTCGCTCGGGTGAGGATGTTCGACCAAGCTCCATGTATAGAAGCTCGGTTCACATGGGGTTGCCAAGCCCCTCACTGTAGGGGCAGGGCCGGTTCTGTGATCGTGGAGGTTCGAAGCGAACTCCATAAATTGGACCCCCAAAATCAACGTAAATCAAAATTCAACGGTGTACTATATAACCAATTGCTAATTTAAAACCTAACGTAAAAGACATTTACAAAACATCTCAATTATGAGAGGATTCTTTTACGTTAATTAGTGGGTTTTACAAAAAAAAAAAAAATTGGAAAAAAATAAAAATAAAATTGGGCCCCCTTGATGAGCTGAGCCTGAGGCAGCGGCCTGTTGAGCCTATGCTCAGGTCCGGCTCTATGTAGGGGTCGAGCCCCACAAGCATTTAAAAAAAAAAAAAAGTGGGGCCCGCCCCCACCTCCTCTCTCACTTGGCTTCGCAATCCCCTATACTCCCATCTTTTCACGAGGATGTTATGCAAATTTCTTGATTAATCTTAAAATTACAGTTGATATAAAAAACAGATCCAAGATGAGAGGTGAGCACAGGCAACCACATAGTTGATGCTGGTAGTCTAGAGGTGAACACAGTTCGATTTGGACAGTTTGTTCTATATTTTCAACTCAAACCATTTTTAACGATTTGAAATTTTTTCAAACCAAACCAAATCATTTTATTTTTCAAACCAAACCATAATTTGCGGTTTGATTCAGTTTTAATCCGTGGTTTACCTTTCGACATTATAATAATGTATTGAACATAGTTAGATATAAGTGTAAACGAGAACTAATAATGTTAAATGTTAAATTACATTCATATTTACTATGGAACACATGAATAAATTATTTTCAAAATTGGTTGCTAAAAGATGTTAATAGAACAAATACATATTTTTTCATTTTTATTTACCCTTTCTTGTTAGACATTCGTATTGTTATATAACGGTTAATATATGTAGAGTTTCATTCTATTATTATAGTTTAGTTAAAACTCCTTTTCATTTTACTAGTGAGATGTAAAGTAAAATGTAGTAGTACTAGTTAGGGAACTTTAACATTTTTCACACAATCAATACGCTTCGTCATTCGTTCTTTTCAAATAAAAAATAAGTTCATTAATCATCTAGACACATAAACAATCATTTTTCTATCTAAACCATAATTTACAAGTGTATAATAAGTTCAAAAAATAAAAGAAAGAACAATGGAAAATGGCATGAATATAAATCTAAGACTTATCAAAAGAGAAGAGAGAAAGAGACGATTCAAGTAGATATTAGTAGACTAATATGTAAATGTGGCTGGCGATTCATTTAATGGTGGTAGATAAGCGTCAAATGTTAGGGAAATTAGAGCTTATGTTAGGGTTTCTGGAACTTCGGACGTGATTTACTGATGTAGTTTTGTTAAATTATGATTTGGATTGTTGAAAATGTATTTTTTTTTCATTTCATATGATTTTTGAATAATTTTTGTTTAGTTTAGATATCAAGTAAGGACATGTACTGTGAACATATTAAATCATATATCAATAATAATGAACCTAATTTACTTTTTATGATTATTTCAATAGGCTAGTTGTAATCTGTATTGTTAAATTGGTATTTTTTTTAAAAGTGAAAACTCTAAAATTTTTAAGATAATAAAATTAATTTTTTAATTAAAGAATTTTAAAACGATTCGGATTGGTTTTGTGGGGTTTTTAAAAATCAAAACCTAAACCAAACCATTTTGAAACGATTTGGTTCGGTTTGAGAAAAAAGAAACCACGGGTCCACGTGAATCCGAACCAACAGTTTCAACTCAACGGTTTCGATTCGGTTTGTGGTTTCGCTGTTTTTTTGTGCAGCCCTGGCTGGTATGGATCCAAAATGAGAGGTGAGCAAGGGTGGAGGGAAAAAAAATCCAAAAGAACCAGCACGGTCAATCGTTTGTGCTGGTCGAGTGCTAGATCCATCGATGGTTGATATCAATTCTTTCCTTGAATCATTTCAGGACTCAAAAATTTGTCCTTTTATTTAAAATGATTGATTCATTGTTTTCGAAATAAATTTATATTTCTAGTTGTCAATAATTTAGCTTGCCACCTTCTTGTCCACCTATACAACATGTAAACTGGAATATCATTGGCATGCAAAGGCTTCTCTTCTGATGAATGGTCTACTTATCATTAGCACTTTGTCAGAAAAATGCTTGATTTTCATGTGTGTGTGTATATATATATATTTTGATACCCCAGGTATCCCAATTTCGCCAGACTAAATCCTGGACCTCTAGTCACCAGCCTCTCAATGACTCGAGGAGGTAAATCGCAGGTTATGTCCTTATTGGCTTCCAGGTTCCCACTTGGTTTATACTCCTGGTCCCAAGAGAATCCTCCTCACTGCGTTGATCAAGAATCGAACTCTCCACACTGAGGTTGCAAGCCCGTCATAGTGATTATTCCACCAACTCGGATGTGCCCTACGGGCCTTTGTCAGAAAAATGCTTGATTTTCGTATATTTTCTCTTATTAAGCATGGAGTATTTGTAGAAAAATAAGGCCGATGGTTTCTCCTTGTGTGTCAAAAGTTTATAATATTCATTATAAATAGTAGATAATAAAGAACGTACAAACAAAAAATTGATAAGAGTTATGAGTCCTACAAAATTTGTGGATAAAATTAAAATTTGACTAGATTATACTAAATTACAATCTTTAACAAGTATAACTTATGACATTTGGATATGTGTTGTTGCCACTATTAAAAAAACTGATTACGTTTGATAATGTGCATATTTAGCATAGCTTAAATTATGGTTAAACACATTTTTTAATACATTTTATGAACCCCACAACTTATTATCTACATTTGTATTCGTTTTGTAGGCCCCTTCTACTTAATTTTAATTTCAAGCTCTCTCAAACAAAAGAAACGCATTTATTTGATAATGGTTTTTGCATACAAGGTAGTAGACCATCCTCACGTGGCTATACGATTCTTCGGATGTTCCCTAAATAAGGCAAGTTTTGTGGGGGAAATATAAAATTTATCAATTGTAAGGTTTTTACCTTGTATAGAAAGATCCTGTGTATCCTACCTTAACTATCATATTAATGTTGAAGGGAACAATAAACGAATTTTTCGAAGGCAAGCGGGCTCTCCACTTGTTTCTCATTGCAAGACAATGATGGTTGGATCCATCCCATCTGCTTAGCCCAAAGGTTCGCTTTAAGATGAAACCATCTCGATGAGTCCTCCCTTTAGATCCTAGACGATACAAAAGCATAGCGTCTGATTCTAAAAAATAGTTATGACTGAAGCAGGCCATAGGCTAAAACTATTTCAATAAGTCAAAAAATCCCCATCTCATTAGGTAATCGAGGTGGAGACGAGGAACATTACCCCCACCCTGAATTTACCAAACTATTATCTTTTATCTTATGAATTGTGTGCTAAATCGTATTTTAATAAAAAAAATTAAATAAATAAGTAAATAGAGTTTTTTAAATTTCCACCCACTTCTTTGCGTTACCATCTGACCAGGATCCATGCAGCTTGTCGAGGCTCTTTGATTCAAGTGAAGCAATGTGGCCCGTGTAGGGCCTTCGTAGCTCGAGTAGTGGTAAGTGTATTTTACACGTTTATTTAGGCTCTTAAAATTTATTTTATATTTCATTATTTGAGAGGATTTCTATTCAATTTAGTGTATGTATTATTTTATAGGTGAAAACCTATACTTGGAGGTGAATTGAGCAGAATGAAGTGGTTTAGAGCTTTGTTTTGGACAAAAGGATGGAATTGCACAAGTGTAAGTAAGTGTTGGGACTGAATTTGATGGAATTTGAAAGTGCTAATTTGATGAATTTGCATGTTTTGGGTACTAAATCATACTTTTGGAGACTAACTTGAACAATCTCATAACTTTGGAGGACCAAACTTGAAGATATTAAAAGTTAAAACACTGGTTTGGGCACAATTGAAAAGCTTAGGAACCTAAATTGATGTACTTAAGTCGAGGGACCTACAATTTTAAAAAGCTAAGGAGCCGAAGTGCAAAAGATAGAAATACTAAGAGGGCGAATACCCCCATAGCATTGGTCGGCCACCCCAGGGATTAAAAATTGGACCGATTTGCTACGTTTTGCCTGCACTTGGATGGATCGTCCAAACCAACAACAAAAAAAGAATAAAATAAAATAAATCGTTGAATTTAAAAGTAAGGATACTTTGCATATTTGATTGACAACATTTAAGCAACCTTGAGGCTATATAGCAAACCTATGTGAATAGAATGGGGAATTTCTTCTTTCTATCATAAAAGAGGAATCCCCTGTAAAATAACATCAATATTCTTGTTATCGAGACTATAAGAAATTCTTGGAGTCTTTGGATAATCCTGTAAAAGAAGAAGAAGACATAGTTCGAAATTGTTGGTAAGATTTAAAATTAATGGTTTTACTAACTTTTATTCCAAATTATTCCAGTTATGGATTTAACTTTTTATCTTGTATTTTTGTGATCAAACCATGATAGGCTAAACAAATCTTATTAACTATTTGATTAATTATTTGCTCATTTTTGTTTGATATTTGTTCACCATTAGAAAATGTTGTGACTTGTATTGTTTTTTAGATGTTCGGTATGAATTAGCACATGATAATACACAACGTACGGTCCTATAATGGATGAACATATCGTTATGCTATATGAAATCGTTATGTGACGATATTGTGAATTAATTGGATATTATATGTTTACACTTTAATGAGAGATAATTAAATTCACATATAAGTATACGATTGATTGATCTCGAAAGTGGTTGTTGGTTATAG